TATGATGCGGTCATCAAACTCAGCACCTACCGAAGGTCAAACAAAATGGACCCGAGATAACCTGAGGTGGGTAAGGAGACCCCTGAGTCATGTTCATGCCAAATGGAGAACAATAACAATTGGTCCAGCCTAACGACCACTTGGAATACATATTTAGCTGAATTACAAGATGCCTCGAAGTGGAATCAGCCCAATCGGAGCTKAAACAAAGAAGTTATGCAATTTACAAATCGGGTTATCTCCAACATAACCGATTTGGACATACACYAATTAATTGGAGGTTTGCCAAAAAACCATGGGGAACTAAGCTACACAGCGACTTGTTCTCGATTCATAAGCCATAAGAGAAGCAAGACGAAGTGGAATCACATGCAAAACAGTTCAGGTTTGGAAGTTATTGATTTAACAAACTGGCACACCTGTTTTGGACCCTATTGCGAGTCTAGGCCAAAGATCGAGCTACACAGCCCACTTCAGACACGATCTCAACCCAAGACCACTTGGAGAATATTTTTGGGTCTCTCATGGTTCGATCAAGCCCAAGATCCGAAGAATTGCTCATTGGATGCTCAAGATATTCCCCATTTCCCAAAGTGGGRCGTCTTGGTTCCAATTATGGCAAGTTCTACACTCGATTGGTTTAAAAGCTTTCAGACTTATGTGTGGTGACCAGGAGACAATATTGACCATCTAGGAGCTATCAATGACGTCTTTGTATGCACCAGCACCCAGGTGATCAGGCGGATTCCTTTGTGCTTCTACTTTCCTAATCTTGGCGCTTTCACACTAGGAGCATATATTCCCCAACYGCTCTTTCCTTTTCCACTACTTGATAAGCACGACTACTGGATATCCTACACAACTATGAGACTCTCATCACATGGATATTTCGTCAGCCTCTCAAGATACAAGGCTCCTCTACTTTCCATACAAGACAAATCATGCATTCAACCATCCAACGGCTAGTAAAATCAAAGCATAAATCTTCCTTGATCTTTTCTCATTCATTTTGGATTAATTTCGTTTTCCTTTTATTATTTTAGACCGTTGTACTCAGCCTATATAAGCTGATCATTTGTCTCATTTGCAAAGCACCTTTCAATCAAAATTAATCAAAGTATGTTTGTTTTCTTTCAAAGTGTGTTTCTTTGAAGAATTGTTCTTTCTTTTGAATACAAGTGTAAGATTCTTTTCTATTCTTTAAAAGCCACGAATATAGTTGTTTGTGTGATTCAAATAACTAGTTCGTTCACAGATTGAGAGAGTCAATCACTCCATCGATTGAGAGAGAGTCAATCAGGCCATCACCTTCCATCTCAACAATGCGCCCATTTCCGCAAGAAAGCTTTTAAACTCTTGATTATCTCGTGAACATAAGTTTGGTGGATTCCAATCTTATATCACAAGTCAACATGAGAGGCATGGTGGACTTGTCTTTTGGAGAAGGTGTGTCAGGCGCGTGACACTATAGTTGTCTGCTCTACTGTAGCAATGTGA